ACTGCGAGAGGTAGATCGTTAGTACAACCACTCTGCTCCTCGCTATCAAGTTGCGTAACATACCTGATCAAACTCGCTGTCATAGCACCCGACAAGCCTGCTAAACGTCTTATCAGAATCCTTCAACACCGGTTGCCCTGACTCGTTCCAGAAGTTGGGGTATGCGCATGTGCCGTTGTAATTGTTCCCGAACGAGAAGTCTAGATACTGGCGGCTCGACTTCCACTGCACTTTGTGTTCTTCCGGACGAAACGGTGCTGTCTCGTTGAGGAAACCCTCGAAGCCAAGAAGGTCACCCATGCTACACACGCGATTAGCTAGGGTGATCGGGTGTCACTTGTGCTACGTACGTCGACATTGTGTGGTCCAGTATCACATACATCCCACGCCTGTGGATGGCGTCGACAGCTGCTCGCCATGCTGCTATATCTCCGTAATGCTTATCGAGAAGCGTCAAGTCTAGCGGCGAGTAGGAGTCTGCCTTCCATGGGTTGTTGATGAAGGGCGAGCCGGCGATATAGATGCCCTGTACGTCTCAGCTCGAAGTTCATGGATCAGTAGACTTGCTTACCTTGATACCTAGTCCTTGGATATAGTCCAAGCTATCTACCAACCCCGCCAAATCACCTCCATGTCTCAACTGATTACTCTGCGAGTCTTTTTCGTACACCGTCCCGTTGATATCATCATTCGTCGGGTCGCCGTTGACAAATCTATCCAGAAACAGTGTGTAGAATGGGAATCGCCAATTCTTTGGTGATGGGTGGAATGTGTGGTCTTTCCATTCGCCTGAGTAGTCGAGGGGCTCTATAGCTGCTTCATTCTCATTAAGATTGTACCCAACAAATGCTTTGTCGAACCTCAAGCAAGAGACGACGGAAACCAGAACTAGCTGCAAGAGCGTGAAATGCAGCATGTTGAACGAAAACGCTAGGAGAGGAGTTTAGAGACGGATGCAGCCGTAAGCGGCGCCATTCGGAGACCTTTATCTCGATGACCACGAGGGCTTAAGGAACAGCCTTGCGCACATCGGCGAAGGACAGAGCGGTGTTTGACAAACTGCACGCCTCGACTCGCTAACGCCAGCCAGATACCGCAGTAAGTGCAGTTGTTGGAAACCAAAAATAGCGGTCGCGACATATCGTCTGAGTACATCGGTCCCGCTCTTGATCACCGCATGAGACAGAGCTCAGCCATCGGCGTGGCTCTGGCATGTGCATCGTCTCAGATCCTACTGGTCGGTTACCGAACGTTACAGCGGTCTGCTATGGTAAGGCAGTTGCATTGCTGATGATTGCCGTCATCATCTGATGGAAACCTCAGACTAGTTTGCAGTGAGACTCGTCAAGAAGGTGGTGTGATGGGCAAATGTCAGAACGTAAAGCTGCAGAAGGGAAGTGTAACAGATGGCTTAAGGCTGAGATGGCTGCTATCGGTTGGCCGAGAAGTGAGTGAGGTTGCACAAAGATAAGCGGCGTAAGATGCTTATTGGGACGGGGAAAGTCAGACACCGCCGACGTTGCACATGCTGGCTTGTCAGCAACGGCTTAAATTACAGCTGAAGCAGAGAAACCTGGTGTTCTGGCCAGTAGCTGAAAGCTTGCATGAAACCTGCCGCATCCTTTAGCTTGCGACCGTCCTCAGCCGTGGCAACATTCCTCATTCGCGAGTGCGGGCAAACAACTTCCGAGGGATTGAAGGCGGGCGCCGGTGCGACGATGTTGAGGCTGAGAATTGCGCTCTTCGCTCACTAATCGAATTCGAAGATAGAGTCGACGAAAAACAAAGCATGGCACGATGAGGGTATCCTGCCTTGGTACTGCGATGGCGCATAGGAAGTGCCGGTGAGGGGAGCCTAGGATGAGATGAGAGTAGCAACTGGCGGGCAGCCTGCAGCAAGCCATCACAGCTTTCGCAATGAATGCGATACCTATACCCTTTCATTTCTTGCGATAAGAGCGATGATAACACGAGATACTGGATGTGTTTCGGATGTAAGCAGTCGGTGGCCGCTGGTGTTGGAAGGAATTGGTTGCAGTCGGGCCGACTCTCATCGCACTCAACCGCCTCGTCGCTGCCTACTGCTGCCTGGATGATCACCACGCCCGCCTTGGCACAGTATGAGTATATGGTTACCAGCACCACACATGTAGAACTTGATATGATCCCATATAGAACCAAACAATGGCTACAACAGCATCCCCAGAGCTCAGACGTTCAAAGCGCAAACTGGACGAGCAAGCCGCTAACCCAGTTCCCACCCCCAACCATGCATCAGCGCCCAAGAAACGTGCGCGTAAAACCACTACATCAGACATCACACCCATACAACCACGTCCAACCTATGACACCTTACCGCCCTTCCTCGCCCTCCCACGAGAGCTGCGAGATGACATTTACAAGCACGTCCTAGAATCAGACAACACATCAACGCTCAAATCCGGGGCCCGCAACATCGTCACACGCTGCGGCCTCGCAGGAGTAAACAGACAGATCTGCGACGAGTACATCGATGCCGTCCTCTTCCACGCACCCGTCATAACAACCACAGTGCGCAACCACAACTTCGCACCCGTCGTCACGTTTCTAAACCGCCTGTCGCAGGCTCAGCTGAAGAAGCTGAGCAACGATGGACTTGAGGTCGCGGGGGCATACGACAGTCATGCGGTGCCGATGCGCAAGATACGTATTATTCTGTCGTATACCGCTGGTGCGAAGGATAGCCATGCGCAACTGAATCGCTGGCTGGACAGATTCGATAATCCTGATAAACGGGGGTTGGGGATTGAGTTCGAGTACGAGGGTGATGGGACGTGGCACAAGGGAGGGTACAAACAGAGACCTAGGCCACGGGTTGGTGCGAGTAAACGGTGGATAGCAGAAGCGGGAAAGATCAGGACTGGTGGTAGTATTCGAAGACGGAATGCGTTTGTAGTTTATGGGCGGAGGTGCTGAAGGTCAAAGGACTTCTCATATCGGGTTGCGTGGACGCGGTGCTGTGTGAGCTGGAGCGTGAGATGTTGAAGACATCTTTCTCACGTGATCGTATAAAAGGCAACTGCCCGCATCCAGACCGCCTGCATCTAGATCCCCAATCCTATGAGCAAGAGCCGCGAAGACCAAAAGATCCCGGGTAAATGGTAAAGACATCCCACAGCCGGCATGCATATTGGCAGTCGCGAGCCAGCAGTCACGGCAGGCACGGAACATTTTCGCGAGTTGCAATATATTCATACCATCTTGCGCTCCCTCCTCATTGGCCCAAACACAAGAATACTCCCTTCGTTAACCAAAAGATTAATATATGCAGGGCGGGCGAAGAGTCTAGATCGAGGCCCCCGTCCGGCGTAGTCCACGTGCAGTCTTTCTCGCCTGGTGCAGGTGCCGACATATGGGCAAAAAGGAGTGTGTGCATATCGCAGAGGCCCCCTTTTGTGTTGTTTTGCGGCGAAGCGAAAGGGATGTTGTGGCACGGTGCGGCGGGACCCGAAGACCTGTTTCGCGAGGTGAAGGACGATTTAACGCACGTCATCTTGGGGCGCGCCTTCGGATGCTGCGACGATGATTGACATACCCGCGGACTGCGCATATGTGATTGTTGTTATCGCAGATCCAGCACCCACCGAACAGCGTTTCGCAGAATCTAGACTTTGGAGCATTTACATTTACCGCAGCCCGGAGCTAGTGTTGAGTACATATACGAGTATGCAGTCGCCCTTCCAGCTTCTACCATCGACTACTGCACACGCGGTGTGGTCACCGACAGAGTTTGGTGCTAGCGCCTGTCGCGTATAGTCATCGCGAGTTTTGACAGTTTGGTGGCGTGTGTCGCGCCGGTTTTGGGTCGCGTTCACGTTCTGGCTTAGTGCAAGCTAAGGCGAAAGTATGTATAAGTGCTCTGAGTTATCGCTCAACTTGCATCAAGGCTTGGTTGAGGTAACTTGCGGGTAAAGCGGCGCATACACGAGGCTCGTGGCATTTGTGTACTGTAGCACCTAAACTCCGATGTCCCGAGGGGGCCTGTTAGGCGAGATGCCCGCTTGTCGCCGCCCCAGCGCGACATAGATTAATCTCGTGGTTTTCTGCCACGAGGGCGCGCACGCGGGGAACCGGAGTGCATGTCGTACGCACCGGCAATATGTAAATTGATGAGGGACAGTTTGAGAACCTGGGCTAGCGACGTTGCTAGGATGGCTGACTTGGCGGGGTTTAGTAGATTGATGGGCAGAAGTAATTACTGTTTAAGAGCCGGGCTCGTCGATCTGGGCTGGTATCGTGTTGTGCGCTTTGTGTTACTTACTTTTTGGTGCTGTTGTTTGTGTCGATCAAATACCTATCTTTCGGGACTTTTCCATCATTTTTGGGGTTATTCGCTCAATTCTACATCTGGCATCTGCAGGTTGTGCTTGAGACATCATGAAACTCTCAGCTATCATCGCGGTCGTCGCCGCGTCGGTTGCGCTTGCGTCGCCTGCTGCAGTACGTTCTCCCAACCTCTCACATCTTACATCTTCTTTACTCTTCCTGACTAACCACCAAAACAGGTCAGTCTCAATCGATCCGTCAAGGAGATCAGGAATGCAGATGGAACCACCGCAGCGGTCTCTTGCATCGAGTGTCCTTGCGATGGCTTTCTTGGAATATGCAAATGCGTATGTATTGTCGATTGAAGAATGACGATGAGGATGGGGATAAGGCTGATGAAGACAGATTCCGAATGGATGCTGCTGCATTACTTGAGCATGAAGGGAGTTGATGGGGTTGGGTGGGGTTGGGTGTCTTGTGCATTATCGGCGTTGAGGATTACTATATACAACATGGCGGGACTGTTTTACAGGTACAGGAAGTGAGGATGATGGCTGAGCGGAAAAGACCACACGATGGTGGTTGCGAAAAGTCATGAGATGCCACGGGTGACAGCTAGGAAAGAGAGGGATGCTCGCGCATAGTATAGATATCTTCATCCATCAAAAGCACCAACCAGACTCACCTTCCCAATTTCATCTCGACCCTTCTGCTTCAACATTCTTCTCCGCCTCCTCCCTCTCCTCCTCTGGTCTAACCCACCTCCGAAACCCAATCGTCATAATCCCACCAATAGCCACCTGAAACGCCTGAAAAATAATCGCCGGAATCTGCATCTTACTCTGATCCACGGGATCAATATTAATATACATAACGCTCGTAAGCGGGACCACCATCGCCAGCGCCTTAGCCGGACAGCAATAACAACAAGCAATCACATCTTTCTTCGGGAGCCACATAGTGGCAGCGACGAAGCAGATGGCCAGCCAGATGAAGTAGAGCGCAATGGTGATGAAGACGATGAAAATGATGTTGGAGGGTTTGACGGCTGAGAAGGCGCCCGAGGAGAAGGCTTGGTCGAAGGTTTGCCATACCATTGTTAGGAGGGCGATGGAGGAGAGTTTCAGCAACTTCCACTCGAAGAACACCTTTTTTGTGAGCGCGGGGAAGAGGCGTTGGACGATTTGCCCGAGCAGCATGGGCAGGAAGAGGGAGAGGCCGAGTTGCATAAAGACGCGCTGGTAGATGCCCGCGTAGCCTGACCCCCGTTGCAGCACTTTGCTATACCAGGATCCGGTCGAGAGGTACATCTGCAGGATTATCGGTGTGAGGAAGGGACACAGGAACTGCCCGATTACAGATTGCACGACTGTGAGGGCTGCGTTGCCGTGGGCTTGCCGCGTCATGACAACATTACTAGACATGGTTGTGGGCGCGCTGCCGACGAAGAGGAAGCCGATCAAGAGCCATGGATCCATGAAATCGCGGTTCGTGGCACATAGGCTGACGATGGCGAAGGTGGCTGCGGAACAGACGAGGTAGCATTGGAGTTGCACGAAGATGTGCAGTTTCCAGCGCATGTAGTTGGCGAGCATGACCCGGGTGTCTAGGGTACAACCGTTGATGAAGAAGATGACGGATACGGCGAGGTAGGTGATTACGGTTCGTTTTGTGCGTTGCTGGGAGGCGGGGACTTGGACTTGGGAGGAGATGAGGACGACGAAGCCCATGGCGAGGAGGAACCATTGGTCTTTGATGAACCATTTTAGGACTGAGAGGGCTTTTGCGCGTTTGGGTGACTTCTTCTTTACTGTTGACTTGTTCCCTTCTCTTGTGTCGGATGTCTCAGCTTCGGGGGGCTCACTAGTCTTTGGGAAATCGAGAAGTGGTGGTCCCGTGTTAATTGAATCCATATTCGTCGCTTCTGCAACGCGCTCTTCTGATATCGTCCCTTTGTTGCCTTCCATTGAGGACCGGCTGGATGGCGCCGCCGCTGTCCGCATTTCGATCTCGTTATGTTTGTCCATTGAAGCGACCATTCAATGTGTCCCTAGATAATCAGTCACAACACTCAATCTTGCATGCACGCGTCTTGGCCTTGAGATATGTGACTCTTCGGTAATACAACGGGCCTAATCATGTAGCCGATTTAGCGCATGCCGACGCGGGAAGTTTACCCCAATGACGCGCGGGCGGGTGAAGCCGGGATCCTGCCATCATCATGTTCAAGCGACAATCATGCATCGCGAGGCAGTGATGACGGTGAGTCGGTTGTCTATCATCTCAGAAGCTGGAGGGTGAATGATGGCAGACGACGGGCAATGAGGCGGCCCGGTTAGTCAGCTTGAACAAAGGCATCATCCCCGCCATCCACCGCGGCGTAGCACGGCGCATACAGTACAGTATACCACGCCGCCCTTCGCTCCCACAGCATCCCATCCACCCAGGCTTCCAGCCACCCGTCACTCGCTTCCCCGTCTCCCAATGACCGCCCCTCATCCCCCCGATGCCGATGCCGATGACAACGCCAACCGCAAACTCATCTGGGCATCCGTCTACCGCACCCTCCTCCAACACGCCCACCCCGACGCGCGCTTCAACCACGACTACATGTCCTTCACCCCCGACTTCCGGGGCTCGTCTTCCGCAATCGGCCGCCTGACCTCCCTCCCCTGCTACAAATCCGCCGCCACTATCCTCATAACCCCCGACAACAGCCTCGAGCACCTCCGCTGCCGGGCGCTGAAAGACGGGAAAAAGGTGCTCGTCGCTACATACCGACTGCGCAGGGGATTCGTGCTGTTGCATCCTGGCCGGATAGCGGAGAATAAATACGAAATCGCGGCGTGTCTAGACGGCATGGAGAAGTCTGGGATAGGGCGTTCGGTGTCGCTGGCGCAGATGCGCGATGAAGGGCTTAAAGTAGATATGTGTGTGACAGGGGGACTGGTGTTCAACGCGCAGGGCGTGACGATCTGGGAAGGGCATAATCTGTTTGAGATACAATGGGCGATGTTATCGGATCTGGGTGTATTGCACACGCAGACACCTGTTGTGGCGGTTGCGCATGGCTGTCAGGTCGTTGATGAGGCGGAGCTAGGCGTGGAGAAGGTAACAGTATCTCCGACGAGGAAGGGAGAGGTACAGTGTGATTTTGTTGTTACACCGGATAAGTTGTATGAGATTGAGGGTGCGGTTAAGCCTACCCCGGGCGTAGATTTCGACGTGATAGATCCGGAGGGCGTGGAGAATATTCCGCCGTTGCAGGAGTTGAGGGGGATTAGGATGATGGAGGGGATTATGCGGAAGGAGGGGTTTGTGGCTGAGAAGGAAGAGAAGGCTGATGGAGGGCTGAATGAGGAGGAGCAGATGGGGGTTAGTATTGTGGAGAAGCTGATGCAGAGTTATAGGGCGTAGGGGATGGAGATTATGATGATGAACGTACGTGCCAGGTAGGTCGACAGGATACTTGAAGGGAATTATATTAGTAGGCTGTAAGACTGCCTGGAGAAGACGAAGTGAAAGCAACGTATACGCTCCAAGGCGGATGTGAACATCGAACGCCCACGCAACGGAAAAGATGCAAACTGACCACCTCCTCCTCCCGCTATTACAAACCCCATCGTCCATATATACACAACCTACACCCTCTCCTTCCAACACTCCAACCCAGTAACCCTCCCCACCTTCCCCCCATCAACCAAAACCCTCTCCCCACCCATCCTCACAACCACCCCTTCACTGCCCCACCCCAACCTCGCTTTACACACCACATCCGTATCATCCCTCTCTACTGCGCCTCCTTGCAGATCCGTGCCCTTTTCTACCCCAAGTATCTCGATGGCTTGGACGTGCTCTGGCCGTGTGCTGAGATCGAGGGAGACGTCGATGGGTATATGTATTGACCAAGCGTTGTTGGATGTTGATGTGGAGGTCTGTGGGTTTTGGGATGAGCCGAGTGTGTAATGTGAGGGTGAGCCGATGAGGGAGAGGGTTATGAGTGGGAGGGCTTCGGAGTGTTCAGGCGAGGGTAGTGGGGAGGCGGTTGCAAAGGCGATGAGGCCTGCGATCGAGAGAATGGTCTGCATGTTGTGCTGTGTTGGTGCGCGTGTAGTCGCAAGTTGACGTGTCGCTGTAAGCCGGTCTCGCAGTGCGTTCGTTTGAAGCGTTGAGTGATACTCGGTCCGAAGATATCCGTGATATGGTACATAGCACACAGCGTGCGCCGTACCTCGCACTCACTTCTTCATATACAAACCCTCTCAACCACGCCGCAAAGTCTCCACCCCGCACGAAACATACTACCCGTGGCACAGCCGTCCTCCAGCGGTTGCGTAATCTCAATCCACCAAAGGGAAACACCTACGCCACAGCCGCTGTCACCCACACGGCATTCCTTCGGCGGTGCAATGCGGAGAATTGTCTGGCGACGTGATTGGGGCGGCTGCGGGACGTAGCCGCTAGGATTTTCCGGGGGCCTTCGTGTTGGTGAGTGGGCGGGCGCGTCGTGCCCTTGATGCGCCCGAGACTGTGCCGCATTGGCGCAGCTATGTACATATGCGTGATATGCATTCGCATGCATGCATAAGAAAAAAGCAAATTGCTTATTATGGGAAAAGGAGGGCGGACGATGCGAAGAAGCAACCATGGAGGTTGTCGCATGGACTTACTACTCCAAGAAGCGAATGCTTGGGTGTGTTGTGCTATCTAGAGATAAGAAAGTGAGGATGTGCTGCAAAAGCAAAGTTGTGTTCTTGCTGGGCACATGTCAATGCCCTGCCCGGAAAGAAGGGGATATCTCACTCCAGTTCGGCCGTAACAGCAATGCAACAGTGCAGCCCGATCCCCTTCGGAGTGGGTGGACTTGGATTGGAGGGTGATGATGGTCATGTTATGCTTCTTGTGTAGACCATTTGTTCGCGTGTGTATGGATACCTTGTTCTGGTACAGCTTACAAGATCGGCAGTTCATTTGATGATGGGTTGCCGTGTCTTGTTCGGGTTGTGATATTCGCCTCCTGATTTAGCAGCCGTGGCAGCTGCATCAGAAATCGCATTCGGACTAGACGGCGGCTCGGCCTACAACATGTCCGCATGTTGAATGTCGCCAATATTCCAGTATATCGACGACGTTTGTTGCAGTACATCACCTGCCTGCTTCGGTTGTTAGGCCTCTAGCAAACATTCATTGAGTCCCTGGTTCGAAGGCATGTTGTCCGCCATCGTGTACACGGATAACAGGACGTCGGACATAAGCGCGAACTAGACACCAAACCCGCAAGTTCATCCGTTACCAGCAGGTACCGACTCACATTTTAACCAAAGTTTGTTGCCATGACTGAACCTTGCGAGCGTCGTCCAGAAATGTTCAAGATTTTCACTCAACCCAGTCAACCGTAGGATCGTTGCTCCCGACTGCAAGGGTTGCACGAATGCGGCGATGGGGCGGCTCGACGGTGGGTTCAACAGGCCAAGGGTACGAAGAGTTCTTCGTCGCACTCGCAGGGGAACACCGTTTTACTCTCCGAACTCCAATACACGGTCGCCACTTTGGAAGCCGGAGTTTTTCCCCAGGAGTCTGCTCCGCCGGACGCCTAAACCTTCGTTGGGAGACCTTGGTGAGCGTTCCTCGGCAGTTTGAGACGAACTTACCAAACGGGAAGAACGTTGAGCTGAGACCAACTGGCTTCGAGAGGACCGGACGGGCGTGGCATCGGGAGATAAACGGTTGCGGAGTTGTTTCCAGGAATTTGGAAGTGCTGTGCTACCCTGATGCATGCGACGCTCATGTCGCCATTGTTCTGTGGATTCGGGGCCCACATGTGGAATTTTGATCGCTAGGATGGTGCCTGCGAGACTCATCGACCTGCCATCCAGCGTTACCCGCGTTGGCACTCAATCCCGATGCCTGTTTGTCGAAATATTGAAGCAGTTGTCGTCGAACAGGCAATTGACAGGCGTTCGGACGACTAGCCGTTGTTGTATATCAGATCCCAAATCCGGGTTTCAGTCGCGAACTATGGTTGTTCGTGCGACGGACTCTGCATCTAGGGGACGATAGTAGCGTTGGCGATGATGCAAGTGCTGAGCTAGATCCAGGTCCTCCAGTGCCTACAGCAAGTGCCGATGCCCGCAACGACGAGTCAGTCCGCGCACTAGATACTCGTGAAACCCTGCAGACTCAATGTGAGGAAGCCGAGGCACCTGATTAGTCTGGCGACAGTCTTGATTTGTACAGTTGAACTTCGAAAGCCACAGCATCTATTATCGTGGAATGGCTGGCGGTGTCGGCGGACTCTCGCTCTCGCAAACTTGTCAGTGGGGCTCCACGCAGGTTCAGGAACCGCCCGGCTAGCGGTTACAAGTTCCCGTCTTTAGAGGTGCAGAGCACTTCCTCATCGAGAGAATCGGCAGTCAGCGTAGAATAGCTGAAACCAACGGTTAAAGAGATACTGCGCGATGATGCAGCCGATCAGCGGCAGCAAGTGGCAGCTCCGAGGAGTCTGTGAGGTTGAGTGTTGACTCCAGGGCTGTCAGTGGGCGTCAGAGCTAGCTAGGAAGCGGAAGGCACGGAAGACGCAGCCCTTGCGAGATTTTCGGTGACTAATCCCCTTCTCGGCTAGCCTTCACGTGGCCGGTGAACATCGCGAAACTCCTTCGAGCGGGACGCATCTAGGCACCGCCAAAAGCAGGACAGAACAACCACTGCCGTTCCCCAAGCCGCGCTTTTGAGTTTCGCTACTGCGAGCTGCCTTCCAGCCATGGTGGCGTCCCAGCCTATGCGAGGTACAGGTCAGCCATGTGCACGAGGCTGCCCAGCTGCTGCACATGTGTACGCTGATCTCCTGTCCCCTCCGTCATGTCCCTATTTGAGTTCAATGAACAATTTCGTTTGCGGCAGTCAACACTACTGCCGTCAGCTTCTACGCGTCCCCGTGTGCCCTGTCAACGCATGAACGACTTCGCCAAATCCATAGTCCCGTGTCCGAGCTCCGCGGGACAACGACCCTGTTGGTAATGGTCGCACCTTGAAACGGACCAGACCCTGGAACGAGTCCTGGGAGCCCGCCCGCAGACCCACTTCACTCGTGGCGGCACCCATTATGCGGTGTCTTCTATAGTCTCCACCCTGCTTATTCGGTCAAGTGTCTAGCTGCGTAAAAGATCCTGAGCCCCCCATTACCGACCGAACGGTGTGCTCATTCTGGGGCTCCTCCTCGCTGTATGAGTGTCCACTGCTTCGTCAATATACCACACCACAATGGCTATTCCCAACAGAGGCCCCGAGCTGCTCGCAGTCAACATCGCCTTCGTTACCACCGCAGTCCTGGCTTGTGCATTGAGGATATATGTTCGCGTCTGTATGGTCAAGGCATTTGGCCGAGATGACTATTTGATGGTTCTCGCAACTGTAAGTGTAGATTAATACGATAACTGGGTCACGATCTAATTAGGTCCTCAGCTCTTCTTCATTTCGTACACCACATCGTCTTGCATCGGCATACACTATGGAACCGGAAAACATCATCGTGACCTGCCCATCGAGGGTGTCCAAAACGCCAAGCATGCGTGGTACTTTTGCTATCTGTTCTACTCCATATCTATGATATGTTCCAAGCTGTCCATTGGGTTCCTTCTCCTGCGGATTAGTATTCGAAAACTACACACATGGTAAGCTATCGCAAACTGAACTTGTAACAACATTGACTAAGAATATCAGGATCATCTACAGTGCCATGTGCGTCTCGATCATTGCTGGAGGCACTTTCTTCTTCGTCTGTCTCTTCCAATGCTACCCAATCTCGTACATGTGGGACCGCACTTCGCAAGAAGGAAAGTGCGTCGACAACACAGTCATCACCGCTCTCGGCTACGTCTACAGTATTTTCAGTATCATCACCGACTTCACGTTCGCCATCATTCCGGGCTTTTTGGTATGGCACTTGCAGTTGAAGAGGAGGACCAAGGTCGCTTTGATCCCGTTGATCACTATGGGGTGCATCGCAAGTGCTGCGGTCATCGCCCGCATGCCTTTCGTCCACTACTTTAACTCTCCTGACTTCCTCTGTAAGTCTCCCTACCGCTGCTCATTCACTGGGTACTAATGCTGCCAGGGTCCACACTTGACATCGCCATCTGGTCATCGGTCGAACAAGGTCTCGCTATCACTGCCGGTAGCCTTGCAACGCTCCGCCCATTATTCTTCATCGCCATGCACAAGCTCGGTCTCTCTACACGCCCAACTGGAGCCTACCGTCCGTCCGCATACGGCATGTCCGCCCCCTTACCCGGCAATGCCGCTGGAAACTCCAAAGCCGACAAGCTCCGTCCCGACATGTACAAACTCTCCGCCACTGTGCAGACTCGCACTTCCGACGACGAACCTAATGGAACCTTTCCGAATTCGAATAAATGGTACGGCGGAAAGGCACCACCAAACTCGAAGAAAAGTACACGTGTGGACAACTCCGACAACGATAGTCAAAGGAGTTTGAGGATCAAGAGCGCTCGGAGCAGTGCGGAAGAGGACCATTTCCAGAACGGCATCATGGTCTCCAAGTCATTTTACATCACGGATGAAGAGCGGGGATCGGTTTTGTCTGCGCCTTACAGATGATGAGTTTCAGCAATATACCCACTTTCAACATTTTCCATTTGTCATCACGAAGACATGCGATGTGGCTTACATCGCGAAGGAGATCTGCATCATATCGGCAAGCTCCTTTTCGCTTCGGGTCCAGCTGAAACGGAGTACCGTGATCGAAATGATCTCAATGCCGTCTCCAGACGGCGGTGGTGATGGCGTTCACACACTCACAGTCGTAACCCCAGTCGAAATTGTCAACGACACAGACATGTCTAAGCGCCGCGGTCCCACCACCACGGTCCTCACACGTGCGCGCAGAAGCAAACCCAGAGCCGCACTCCACCACGAAAAAAAGCCCATCGTGAACCCGAAAAAGTATGCGAACGACCTGCCTCGGCAATCGCAGTTACCGAGCACTGCGAGAAAAAAGAAGCCAGGTTCGTCTGACTCTCTGGGTTCGTCTGGAAGCACACCGCCCCACAGCGGCTCGAGTCTGGGTCTTACTTGACTCGAATATACCACGGCAGGTACCACGGCAGGGAAGCGACGACACCAACTGCCGCATCACGGCTCACGGCCTTTTATCTCTGTATACCCCCATCCCTGTACATTAGCAAAGAGAAAGAGTGACATGACATTTTGAAATACCCTGTATATACTAGTAATGTAGTTAATAAGAAACGCTGAGAATATCACGCACGTTGCGAAGTCCATTCGCGACACGGGTAGTCTACCGGATGTTGACTACTGTACCTATATGCCATGACGACGGAAAAGACGTCGCGATGCGCTACCCCAAGACTAGCTTTTTTGTCTCGAAACACTAAGCTTCCGCACCTGGCACTTTGGAAAGAAGTAACGAAGTCTGTTGTTACGAAGTCCACAACTGCCGCAGAGCCTCAGACCACCTCGGCAGGGGAGGGGAAGTAAGCTTACATGCAGCGCCATCATTCCTCACTATGACACCGCCCGCCAGACATTCTTCTGACCGCCACTGTCGTCTCACCATCACGCCATGTACCGGCATCACCTTCGCGGTGATGTACCACTTTCCCATCCCATCCCATCCCATCCTCCCTCCGCCACCAACTCCCCCATCGGCATGTCCATGTCTATCACCATCGCAACCAAACAACACTCCGCCGAACACTACCCGACCGGTGACCGTCGCACCACCCCTCTAACAACCGTCTCTCTACACTACAGAAAATCTCCACAAAACAACCCTTCCAAATCACCTAGACTTACGAACGGCGGTTCCTACCGTTCCGTCTCGATTGACCTATCATCTATCACAGTCCCTCAACATTACTACTACCACTACCAGTAGCTTGCCCAGACCCCGAAAGTCCGAAAGCGCGAAGGTCGCGAAAAGAAGGCCCGATTCACAGCGATCATGACTGCTAGTGTACCACCCGCCAGTCTGGCCTCAACGCGGGACCTAGTTTGCCTAGCTCACTAAGATCAGCGTCTGAGGTGCAGCTGGACTAGATGAAAAGGTCCGATGGTGTGGTGTGATGTGATGTTCAGGAGGGTTGGGCATGCACGCAGGGAAGAGGGGTGTTACTGTACCTAGGTAGTGCGTAACCTGCGTGCTGAAAGTTGGTAGTGTATCCAAGGTGGCAAGTGAAACCACAATGACGCCAACGAACTAGATGTACGCAGGGAACTCTGAACGAAAACAGGGTCGATGGGCAGGGAGCCAATCGGCGAGGATTAATCATCTGAACGATCTGTGACATGCCGAAGGCTGAGATGGGGGCATAGAGTTCGGTGGCTGGGTAGCCCGGCCGTTGAGAAGTAGGTTAGTAGGTTAGGTAGGTTAGGGAGTTGATCGTGCATGACGCCGCTAGGAAGTCGGGATAGAGATGAGCGAGTGACATGTGTGGAAGTGACATGTTTACACGGTGCGCTATGCAGGTTTACCCCGTGTTCAAGCGGAGTTGACACCGGTGACGTGCGGCATATGCCATGTAGTGAGTGAGATTCACAGCGTTAACTCTCTCCGTGTTTCCACGAATGGGCATGATTACTCATAAGGACGTGAAAGCCAAGACATCGACACGGCAGGGAAACGAGATGATCTGGGTTAATGTTGGGAAAGAGGGAGGTCTGGAACACGATGCAAGAGCTTGGAATTTGGTGGCTGAGATCTTGGAGTAAATATCGGAATTCATAGCTATTTCGGTTTACACCCGGAACTAAACAATGCGCTCAAGTGCAGCACGAGCAGTCATTGCAGCTCGAGTCGCGGATAGCAGGCGGCGCTGCGCACGTCTTCTGCGGTGTGTACGGCAGCGTCGTAGTAGCAGGCGGGGGAGCATTGAGCGTCGATGCCTTGACCAAAACGGGTATGGCAGCGCCAGTCGAAAGACGGAATTCGCGATGGCCAAGAACTGGAGTTTTGTTAGTACAAAGATGTCGGAACGACATTGAAGAGACGGTGACATACCGCGAAGCAAACTGCCAATCTCACCCGAGTGCGAGGAGATGGAGATGTAAGTGCTATCGTCATTGCTAAGTATATCATCGAGCACAGCTTTTGAGCGAGCATCTTGGTTTGCGCGCGGCTCGGCGAAGAGCTCAGTCCAGTATGGGTCTTCCTCTGCGAAACCTTTTTCGAACTTGAAGCCAGGGAAGTTCTTCTTGATGAACGACTTGCTGTGGCGGCGATCGCATGTATGCGCGCTGATACCTTCACGTAGGAATTCCTTGACAACAGGCACAAAGGGGTTCTTTTTCGGCAGCTTAACGCCTTCGAAAGTGATCTTCGCGGTGTCGAGACAGCGGTACAGGGGGCTAGTGTAGAAAGTCTCTGGCGGAGTGATCTTCTCATCTTTGATGAGATGATTCCAGAACTTGTTCACCACTTTCGCTTGTTCGATACCGTCGATGGTGAGCTGTGCATCTGCCCAGGTAACAGTGCCGTTGCCGTCGAGTTCAGACCAGTAGCAGTTCCACGCCGGGGTGCCGAAGTAGGATTCTGCGGCGTTGTGGAAGCCTTCGCCGTGGCGGCCCATGAAGAAGAGGGCGTAGCGTTCATTGCGTGGTGCCTTCTTGTTTAGGGTGGAGATGTAGTGTGCGAGGCGCTGCCATTGGGTTGAGTGTTTGCGGTCTGGGCAGGAAGAATCGCTGGGGTAGGTTCGGTTGATTAGGCCGAAGTTGCTGGTTAGGAAGTTGAAGGTCGAGGGGTCGGTGGAGGGCTCGTCTTGTTGGAAGATACCGGTTACGACGGTGTAGTTGATGGACTTTGCGTGGTGGTATGCGCTGACTGAGGTCGCGGCGGTCAGAAGACCGTATAGAAGCGATGATGCGAGCATGATGGCTGATTAGGAATACGATTACTGCAGATAGATCCAACGCCTGCTGTTCGGATTAACGACGGTTCCCGGCTTCTCTTTAAGACGTACATGATGTCGGACGTCTTTGCTCCGATTGTACAGCGGCGGACATGGTTGGAGATGTTGATGATGTTCACAGCCAATCATTGATAAACGTGATTCGGCTGCATTGCCGGACGAGGCTTAACGCATGGCGAAGAACGTTGACCTTCCTGTCGCGTCGTTGGCCAAGGACTAGTTATGACGGGGCAATGAAGATCAAAGTGCCGGTGGAGAAAAGGCGTGTTGTATGGCGTGGCCGTGATTGGAAGGGAACATTTGTTCAAGATGTTCACGATGCTGCGAGAGACGCACTTGTGGTCCGTAGACCCGGTTTACGGTGCCGTCCAACTACTTTTGGATCAGATGGAAGAAATGAGTGAAGGACCTCTCGGAATGCTAGACTCTCCAGGAATCAGGATAGGCAACCTGGTGGTGTTGATGACTTGGTCGTGGGTTTACTCATGTTCTCAAACGATGCCCATTCGAGTCTGCAAAACACTGGTGTGAATGACGAGGGAAGCCAATGAGTGAAGTTCAAGTCTGCATGAAATGCGCGCAGGTGCAGGTGGTGTTGGAGTCTCGGGGGAAAGTGAAAGCTCGCCTGGTGCGAATGTACCTGCCAAGGCTATCGGCTGCACCTGCCCTGCAAGTCGTGAGCCGCGGCTCCACAAAAATTCCAGTTGTAGCTGTCGCGAAATGCATTCAACCAACTCCCGCATCATCTTTAGACCCAAGATGTTCGAGAACTTGTGCGCGCTCCCGGTGGAGCACGATATCTTTGTGCAGGCGATCCACCCAGAGGAGCCTATCATAGCCGTAGGCTTGGCGAGCGGCCATGTGCAGACCTACAGGCTGCCCTCGGGCGCAAGCGACGACGACGGTGACGAGACGATAGCTTCCGAGAAGGGCTTCGGTACCATAGACAAGGTCTGGGACACACGGCGACACAAGGGAAGCTGTCGGACACTCGGATACAGCGTCGATGGCACGTCGCTTTACTCGGCAGGCACAGATGGCATGATCAAGGTCGCAGACTGCATGACTGGCCAGGTCACGGCCAAGATCTGTGTACCGCTGGATCCGTGAGTACAACAGACACGAGCAATCACGTGAGCGACACTGACACCGACAGCGCGAATGGCGGCATCGATGCGCCTACCCTCGTCTACGGTCTCTCACCGCAATCCCTCATCCTCACCACCGACTCGGGCTCACTACACATCTACGACATTAGGAACCTCAAGGGCGGCGAGAAAGTCTCCCTAAAGCCCGACAACACACACCGACCCCACGACGACTACGTCTCCTCCCTCACACCTCTACCGCCCACGCAAGCGAGTACCAGCGGCTGGGCCAAGCAATGGGTCACAACGGGAGGAAGCACACTGGCCGTCACGGATCTGCGGAGAGGCGTCATGGTCCGGAGTGAGGACCAGGAAGAAGAGCTGCTCAGTTCGTGCATCGTGACTGGTCTACCAAAGAAGGGCTCAAGCGTAGGCGAGAAGGTCATTGTGGGTGCAGGCGACGGCGTTCTAACACTCTGGGAGCGCGGAGTCTGGGATGACCAAGATGAGCGCATCATCGTCGACCGCTCTAAGGGAGGCGGCGAGAGCCTCGACTCCCTCACTGTCGTACCAGACGGCGTTG